GGGGGAGATTTTGGGGTGATTTGGGTGGGTTTGGGGTGGTTTTCGGGCTGGGTTTGGGGGTATTTGGGGGGTTATTTTGGGGGGGTGTAGAGCTCGGTTTTGGGGCTATTTAGGGCATTTTAAGGCTATTTTTTGGGGCGATTTTGCCCTGTTTCGGGGCTATTCTCATGCTGGTTTTGGGGTATTCTGGGCTATTTTAGGGCTATTTTCGCACTGCTTTTGGGGCTATTCTGGGCTATTTCAGGGCTATTTCCATGCTCCTTTTGGGGCTGTTTTGCGCTGTTTTAGCCGTTATTTTCTGCGACTTTTAGCGCTGCTTTTGGGGCTATTTTGCGCTATTTCAGGTCCGTTTTCTGCTGGTTTTAGTGCTATTTTGACCCATTTTTGTGCTATTTTCAGCGCTGGTTTTGGGGCTATTCTGTGCTTACTTTGCGCTGCTTTTGGGTCCATTTTGCGCTATTTTGGTGCTATTTTCACGCTGCTTTTGGGTCCATTTCGTGCTGGTTTTGTACTATTTTCACGCCGCTTTTGGGGCTATTCTGTGCTTATTTTGCGCTGCTTTTGGGTTCATTTCACGCCATTTTGGTGCTGGTTTCACGCTGCTTTGGAGGCTCATTTAGCGCCGCTTTTGGGTTCATTTTGCACTATTTTAGTGCTATTTTCACGCTGCTTTTTGGGTCCATTTCACACTATTTTGGTGCTATTTTCACGCTGCTTTGGTGGCTATTTTAGCGCTAGTTTCGGGGTTACATCGCGCTATTTCCGCTCACCTTTTGGGTCCATTTCATGCTATTTTAGTGCTATTTTCACGCTGCTTTTTGGGTCCATTTTGCGCTATTTTAGTGTTATTTTCAGTGCTGCTTTTGGGTCCATTTCGCGCTATTTTAGTGCTATTTTCACGCTGCTTTTTGGGTCCATTTCGCGCTATTTTAGTGCTATTTTCACACTGCTTTTTGGGTCCATTTTGCGCTATTTTAGTGCTGTTTTCACGCTGCTTTTAGGTCCATTTCGCACTATTTTAGTGCTGTTTCCACGCTGCTTTTGGGGGCGATTTCGCGCTATTTTGGTGCTATTTTCACGCTGCTTTTGGGTCCATTTTGCGCTATTTTAGTGCTATTTTCACGCTGCTTTTTGGGTCCATTTCGCGCTATTTTGGTGCTGTTTTCATGCTGCTTTTGGGGGCTATTTCCACTCCGCCTTTGGGTCCATTTCGCGCTGTTTTAGTGCTATTTTCACACTGCTTTTTGGGTCCATTTCGCGCTATTTTGGTGCTGTTTTCACGCTGCTTTTGGGGGCTATTTCCACTCCGCCTTTGGGTCCATTTCACGCTATTTTAGTGCTATTTTCACACTGCTTTTTGGGTCCATTTTGCGCTATTTTAGTGCTATTTTCAGTGCTGCTTTTGGGTCCATTTCGTGCCATTTTGGTGTTATTTTCAGTGCTGATTTTGGGTCCATTTCGCGCTATTTTGGTGTTATTTTCAGGCTGTTTTGGGTCCATTTCGCGCTATTTTGGTGCTGTTTTCATGCTGCTTTTGGGGGCTATTTCCACTCCGCCTTTGGGTCCATTTCGCGCTATTTTAGTGCTATTTTCACGCTGCTTTTTGGGTCCATTTTGCGCTATTTTGGTGCTATTTTCAGTGCTGCTTTTGGGTCCATTTCGTGCTGTTTTGGTGTTATTTTCAGTGCTGCTTTTGGGTCCATTTTCCGCCATTTTGGTGCTATTTTCACTCTGCTTTTGGGTCCATTTCGCACTATTTTAGTGCTGTTTCCACGCTGCTTTTGGGGGTGATTTCGCACTATTTTGGTGCTGTTTTCACGCTGCTTTTGGGTCCATTTTGCGCCATTTTGGTGTTATTTTCAGTGCTACTTTTGCATCCATTTTACGCTATTTTAGTGCTATTTTCAGGCTGCTTTTTGGGTCCATTTCGCGCGATTTTGGTGCTGTTTTCACGCTGCTTTTGGGTGTTTCTTCCAGCGCTCCTCTTGGCTCCATTTCCCGCTGTTCCCTCGCCGTCCCCTCCATCCTGCCCCCATCACCACCCCCACACCCCCCCCCTTTCACTCCGCCGACCCCTTGTGCCTGCGCTTGGACGGCGGCACGAGGCGCGGGGGGAGGTCTGCGGGGAGCCCCCTCCCTTCCAGCTTGGCGCCGATGAGGTGCCCGGCCAAGGCGAACTCCTCGTCGTCGAGCATCCCGTCGCGGTCCACGTCGCTGAGCTTCCAGATGCGGCCCAGCACGGAGCTGGGCAGGTTGCTGGTCACCATCCAGCCCTTGGCGCGCCGCCCGCTGAGCTTGCCCCCCGTCGGGGCCAGCCCGTAGAAGATCTCGTCGTACTTGGCCTTGTCCTTCAGCACTGCCCATTCGCCGCCCTCCTCCTCCTCGCCCTCCTCATCCTCGCCCTCGCCGCTGAACGGGCCCTGACGGGCGCCGTCGAACGCGCCCCCCTGCACCGCGCCGCTGCCCTCGGGCGCCTCCAGCTCCTCCCGGCGCAGCAGCGGCATCAGCGCCGCGATGTCGGACGTCAGGAGCTCGTCCAGGGCCTCCAGCACCCGCGGCTTCAGCGCCGGGAAGCGGGAGAAGTCGTGGACCAGGAGCAGCTCCTGCGCGATACGGGAGGGGATATCGCGATATGGGAGGGGATATCGCGAGAGAGAGCAGGGAGAGCGCGATATGGGAGGGGATATCGCGAGAGAGAGCAGAGAGAGCGCGATAGGGGAGAGGATATCATGAGAGAGAGCGCGATAGGGGAGGGGATATCGCGATAGGGGGAATATATCGCAATGGGGGAGGGGATATCGCGAGAGAGAGCAGAGAGAGCACAATATGGGAGGGGATATCGCGAGAGAGAGCAGGGAGAGCGCGATATGGGAGGGGATATCGCGATACGGGGGAATATATCGTGATGGGGAGGGGATATCGCAAGAGAGAGCAGAGAGAGCACGATATGGGAGGGGATATCGTGAGAGAGAGCAGAGAGAGTGCGATAGGGGAGGGGATATCGCGAGAGAGAGCAGGGAGAGCGCGATATGGGAGGGGATATCGCGATAGGGGGAATATATCGCGATGGGGGAGGGGATATCGCGAGAGAGAGCAGAGAGAGCGTGATAGGGGAGGGGATATCGCAAGAGAGAGCAGGGAGAGCGCGATAGGGGAGGGGATATCGCGATACGGGGGAATATATCGTGATAGGGGAGGGGATATCGCGAGAGAGAGCAGGGAGAGCGCGATATGGGAGAGGATATCGTGAGAGAGAGCAGGGAGAGCGCGATATGGGAGGGGATATCGCGAGAGAGAGCAGAGAGAGCGCGATATGGGAGGGGATATCGCGAGAGAGAGCACAATATGGGAGGGGATATCGTGAGAGAAAGCAGAGAGAGCGCGATATGGGAGGGGATATCGCGAGAGAGAGCAGAGAGAGCACGATATGGGAGGGGATATCGCGATACGGGGGAATATATCGTGATAGGGGAGGGGATATCGCGAGAGAGCAGAGAGAGCGCGATAGGGGAGAGGATATCGCAAGAGAGAGCAGGGAGAGCGCGATATGGGAGAGGATATCGTGAGAGAGAGCAGAGAGAGCGCGATAGGGGAGAGGATATCGTGAGAGAGAGCAGAGAGAGAGCGATATGGGAGGGGATATCGCGAGAGAGACAGAGAGAGCGCGATATGGGAGAGGATATCGTGAGAGAGAGCAGAGAGAGCACAATATGGGAGGGGATATCGCGATATGGGGAATATATCACGATAGGGGAGGGGATATCGCGATATGGGAGGGGATATCGCGATAGAGAGCGGGGATATCGAGATAGAGAGTGGGGATATCACGATAGAGAGCTGGGATAGCACAAGAGAGAACAGGGGATTTCGTGATAGAGAGCTGGGATAGCACAAGAGAGAACGGGATATCGCAATAGAGACCGGGGATAGCGCGATAGAGAGTAGGGATAGTGCCAGAAGGCGGGGATAGCGCGATAGAGCAGGGAATTGGGGTCGGGATCCCAGTGGAGAGCGGGAATATCGTGACAGAGAACAGGGGATATTGCGAGAGAGTGGGGAGTTGGGGTAGGGATCCTGATGGAGAGCGGGAATATCGCGATAGAGAACACGGGATATCGCGAGAGAGAGGGGAGTTGGGGTGAGGATCCCACTGGAGAGAAGGATATTGCGATAGAGAGCAGGGAATATTGTGATAGAGCAGGCAATATCGCGATAGAAGGCTGGAATATCACAATGGACAGTGGGGAATATTGCATTAGAGCAGGGAATATCACGATAGAGCAGGGAACTGGGGTCAGGATCCTGGTGGAGAGTGGGAATACCGAGATAGAGCTGGGAATATCGAGAGAGAGTGGGGAATATCGTGATAGAGTGGGGAACTGAGGTCAGGATCCCAGTGGAGAGAAGGAATATCCCAATAGAGAGCATGGAATTGGGGTCGGGATCCCCACAGAGAGTGGGGATATCGCGAGAGAGCGGGGAATTGGGGTTGGGATCCTGGTGGAGAGAGGGCGATATCGCGACAGAGAGAGGGGAATTGAGGTTGGGATCTCAGTGGAGAGTGGGGAACAGGGGTCAGGATCCCGACGGAGAGCAGGGAATATCACGATAGTGCATAATATCACAACAGAGAGCAAGGAATCGGGGCCGGGATCCCACTGGAGAGCGGGGAATCGGGGTTGGAAGCGCAATGGCCTGGGCAGGAGGTCCTGCCGCGAGGTTCCGTATCCCAAAGGCGCATCCCAACGGATCCCGAGGGATCGCGACGGGCAGGGTCCATCGCGATCGCTCACCTGCATGCGGGCGCAGTCGGGGAAGTCTCCCGCCGGGATGTGGTGCTCCAGCTGGATGCGGGCGAAGAGCAGCGGGAGTTGGGAAATGAGCTGCTTCTTCTTGGCCTCCTTCCCGAACACCGAGGGCATCTCCTTCCGCAGCCGGGCCAGGATGTGAGCGTGGACCTGGGAATGGCGGAACACCGGGAATGGTTCCGGATGGACCATCCATACCATCCCAACCTCATCCCATCCATCACATCCCGACCTCATCCCATCCATCCCATCCCAACCTCATCCCATCCATCCCATCCCGACCTCATCCTATCCATCACATCCCGACCTCATCCCATCCATCCCATCCCAACCTCATCCCATCCCATCCATCCCATCTATCCCATCCCGACCTCATCCCATCCCAACCTCATCCCATCCATCCCATCCCGACCTCATCCCATCCATCCCATCCCAACTTCATCCCATCCCAACCTCATCCCATCCATCACATCCCGACCTCATCCCATCCATCCCATCCCAACTTCATCCCATCCCAACCTCATCCCATCCATCACATCCCGACCTCATCCCATCCCATTCCATCCCGACCTCATCCCATCCATCACATCCTGACCTCATCCCATCCCATCCCATCCCAACCTCATCCCATCCATACCATCCCGACCTCATCCCATCCATCACATCCCAACCTCATCCCATCCCATCCCATCCCGACCTCATCCCATCCATACCATCCCGACCTCATCCCATCCCAACCTCATCCCATCCATCCCATCCCGACCTCATCCCATCCCATCCCGACCTCATCCCATCCATCCCATCCCGACCTCATCCCATCCATCACATCCCAACCTCATCCCATCCCATACCATCCCAACCTCATCCCATCCCATTCCATCCCATCCCAACCTCATCCCATCCATACCATCCCGACCTCATCCCATCCATCACATCCCAACCTCATCCCATCCCATACCATCCCAACCTCATCCCATCCCATTCATCCCATCCCAACCTCATCCCATCCCATCCCATCTCATCCCAACCTCATCCCATCTATCCAATCCCATCGACCCATATATATACCCAACCTATCCCATTGACCCCATTGGCCCCTATCCATTTCCAACCCATCCCATTGATCCCATTGACCTATGTCTATATCCAACCATCCCATTGACCCATGTCCATACCCAACCCATCCCATTGACCCCTATCCATTTCCAACCCACCCCATTGACCCCTATCCATTTCCAACCCATCCTGTTGACCCCTATCCATACCCAACCCATCCCATTGACCCCTATCCATACCCAACCCATCCCATTGACCCCATTGCTCCATGTCCATACCCAACCCATCTCATTGACCTCTATCCATTTCCAACCCATCCCGTTGACCCCTGTCCATACCCAACCCATCCCATTGACCTCTATCCATTTCCAACCCATCCCGTTGACCCCTATCCATACGCAACCCATCCCATTGACCCCACTGCCCCATGTCCAGTTCCAACCCATCCCATTGACCCCTATCCATTTCCAACCCATCCCGTTGACCCCTATCCATACCCAACCCATCCCATTGACCCCACTGCCCCATGTCCATACCCAGCCCATCCCATTGACCTCTATCCATACCCAACCCATCCCATTGACCCCACTGCCCCATGTCCATACCCAACCCATCCCATTGACCTCTATCCATACCCAACCCATCCCATTGACCCATGTCCATACCCAACCCATCCCATTGACCCCATTGACCCATGTCCATACCCAACCCATCCCATTGCCCCCTGTCCATACCCCCCCCATCCCCTTGACCCCATTGACGGCTCACCCTGACGAGCCGCGCTCTCTTGACCAGGTCGTTGAGCTTGCGCAGCGCGGCGTTGCGGGGCAGGCTCTGGATCTCCTGGAACAGATCCTGTTCCTCGAGCTCAAAGAGCCGCCGGTTGTCGGCGATGAGCAACGGCTCCGACCAGAAGGAGCCGATGAAAACCCTCAGCACTTCCGGCGTGTTAAAGACCTTCCCCAAGGACCACAGCAGGGCCCCATAGACGCGCATGAGCTGCTGGGTCTCCACCGTGTCGGCCTTGTTGAGGACCACGCGGATCTTGTCCTCGTTGCCCTTGAGGGCTCGGATGGCTTCCGAGAACTCGTCCGAGATTTC